CTGGCCTGATCCAACATTGGCTTCTCCTATGTTCTTATGATGTCCTTGACCTTGTATCAAAATGCAGCAGGGGAAAAATGTGTGCAGCTGTACGTGCTTTGTACACCACAACAATACCACTAGCTGGGAGGAGGAGGAGGAGATTGGATTTATACCCCGCCCTTCACTACCCAAAGAGTCTCAGAGCGGCTGACAAACTCCTTTCCCTTCCCCTCCCCACAACAGACAGCCTGTGAGGTAGGCTGGGCTGAAAGAACTCTGACAGAAACTGCCCTCAAAGAAAAAGGAAAAGAGATTGGATTTATACCCCACCCTTCACTACCCAAAGGTGTCTCAGAGCGGCTGACAAACTCCTTTCCCTTCCCCTCCCCACAACAGACACCCTGTGAGGTAGGTGGGGCTGAGAGAGCTCTGACAGAAACTGCTCTTGAGAGAACAGCTTGCCCAAGGTCACAGCTCTTATCAGAACTACAGCTTGCCCAAGGTCACACCAGCAGGTGCAAGTGGAGGAGTGGGGAATCATACCCGGTTCTCCCAGATTAGAGTCCGTGCACTTAACTACGACACCAAACTGGCCACCTAGACCAATAACCCTCCCCCACCTAAACATAAAGTATCATGGGAGCATCTCATGCTGACCTACCAAAGTCACAAAACCAAACAAGGACCCACGGTAATATTTGATATTTTTGATATCTCTTCTATTGTCAATTGTGATTAAGATGATTAATTATATATGTAGAAATTATTATAAAATCTATTTCAAAAAATATAAAATTATTTATGATATGTTATAATCATCTGTGCACGGTACTTGCTGTATGTTGGTTGACCTACCAAAGTCAGCTGCACCCAACTACAGCAAATCATCCTTGGAAAGTCCCAGCATTTGAACTGGGCTGTGTTTCCTTCAGGATATGTGCAGAAACTAGAGGACCGCAACCAGCGCAAGAGCACAACCGGAATCACAGAGAAAACTGGTCACGTGCAACCGCCACAGACCTCCGTGTTGGGCCAGGGCAGGGGTGGAGGAGGGGGAGACGAAGGGCAATTATTTACTTTTGCTGGGAAGCCAGTGCGAAGGCATCTTGCTTTTGCCGGGAGACACCAAATCTTTCCGCCACGTTCTCTGAAGTTATGCTGAAAAACAAGACCACGGCTCACGAGGATTGTTTGATGGGACAGCGGAGCTCTTCGCCTCTCCAATACAAAAAAAGAGTGGACCAGTCGGAGCCATGCATATCTTCCAGCCATGCTGAAGAACCACAACTTCCATTGTTTTGTAACAAATCAGCAACTTTCTAGCCAAAGGTGAGCTTAGATGCATGTGAGCGATAAGCACACTGGACAGGATTTCTCAACCTCTAACACAACGCCTAACTCTCTTCCTCCGTGTCAGCTATTCAAAGGTAGCAATCTCATGTAATCTTGTGGAACTGGTTTCACTTAGCAGAAGCAGCAGAAGAGGAGGAGGAGGAGGAGGAGATTGGATTTATACCCCGCACTTCACTCGGACTCTCAGAGCGGCTGACAAACCCCTTTCCCTTCCCCTCCTCACAACAGACACCCTCTGAGGTAGGTGGAGCTGAGAGAACTCTGACACAAACTGCTCTTTTTCAAGGACAGCTCTGACAGAACTATGGCTTGCCCAAGGTCATCCAGCAGCTGCGAGTGGAGAAGTGGGGAATCAAACCCGGTTCTCCCAGATTAGAGTCCGCGCCCTTAACCACGACACCAAAGTGGCTCTACGCTATCTTCAGTTCAGGGCCACAAGGCCAGGGCAGCTTCACCCTTGTTCCAAACTTCTCCCCCTTTAAAAGGTAAAGGTTCCCTTGCTCAAAAGCCAGTCGAATCCGACTCTAGGGTTGCAGTGCTCATCTCCGTCTCAAAGCCGAAGAGCCAGCGCTGTCCAAAGACGTTTCCGTGGTCATGTGGCCGGCATGCCTAAACACCAAGGCGCACGGAACGCTGTTCCCTTCCCACCGAAGCGGTACCTATTTATCTACTTGCAATTTCTTGCTTTCGAACTGCTAGGTTGGCAGGAGCTGGAACTAGAGACGAGAGCTCACTCCGTCATGCGGCACACTCGGGTCTCGAACTGCTGAACTACCGACCTTCCACAGCCTGCAGTTCAGTGTCTCAACCACTTGAGCCACCACAGCTCCTTTACCAGAATCTTATCTGGGAACAGTGACTCACAGGCCTTCGTTTACTTAAGTAAGAGGTTGCATCCGATGCTGGAAGACCCCAAAGACCAGCAGGCTTACCCCATCGGGATCAAGCAATCTCTGGCAGTGCTGTTCTCCATCATACGGGAGCTGACGTCCCCAGGGTTGCCGACGCTCCGCAGAGACATGCTTTCGACTCTGGAGGAAGGAAAAGAAAGCGGCCGGTATTTATTAGATTAATGGAGGAGCCCCACGTATGGGTTGCCGGAATAGTCAAACGGCAGCTCGCACCAAAGCGGATCGCTGATCGTTTTGATCCGGAGAGCTATAAGAAATCAACACATCAAGTGACAGAAATGGGAACACGCTGCCTGAATATTGATTACTTTGACTACTTTGTCACTGTCCAAGGGGTCACGAAACAAAATCAAAGTTAATTTTCTCCACCAAAATGGTATTTGAAGATCCTGAATGCATTTTGCCACCTTCTCAAATCTCATTCATCTTCTATCTGCATCTAATTAAAGCGGTCTGTCACTTGGGCACATCAAGGCTGGACTCGGAACATGATATTTTTACCTCTCAGTCTTCCCAGCATCCACCTGAAATCAATGCTTTTCCCCCAAGCAACTGTACACAGGATCAGAGTGTTGGAAAACAAGAACACTCAGAAAGCCAAAGTTTTCTCCCCTCTCCCCCCAAAAAAAACCTTTAGACCCTACTTCACAGCATCTAAAACAGAGCTTTTGGACGCAGGGATTCATCTTCTTGTCATCAAGAAACACATAGATCCAGAAGAGTTAGCCGTGTTACTCTGTTGCTACAAAACAGTAAAAAGCCCAGTAGCACCTTTAAGACTAACAAACTTTATTGTAGCATCCGCTTTCGAGAACACGGGTCTCTTCGTCAGATGTTTCTCAAAAGCTTATGCTACAATAAAGTCTGTTATTCTTAAAGGTGCTACTGTGCTTTTTACTAACAAACACACATGCATTGATGGAACTACATGTTGTTCTGAGTCACCATTTAAGAACATAAGAGATGCCAATGTTGGATCAGGCCAAAGGCCCATCCAGTCCAACACTCTGTAACACACAGTGGCCAGAAATACCAGGTGCCATCAGGAGGTCCACCAGTGGGGCCAGGACATTAGAAGCCATCCCACTGTTGACCCCCCCAAGCACCAAGATGACAGAGCATCACTTGCCCCAGAGTCCCTATCTATACCTTGTGGCTAATAGCCACTGATGGACCTCTGCTCCATATGCTTATCTAATTCCCTTTTGAAGCCGTCCATGCTTGTAGCCGCCACCACTTCCTGTGGCAGTGAATTCCAAGTGTTAATCACTCTTTGGGTGAAGAAGGACTTCCTTTTATCTGTTCTAACCTGACCGCTCAGCAATTTCATGGAGTGCCCACGAGTTCTTGCATTGTGAGAAACGGAGAAAAGTACCACTTTCTTTACCTGCTCTTTCCCATGCATAATTTTATAAACCTCAATCATGTCATTCCTCAGTCATCATTTCTCCAAGCTAAAGAGCCCTAAGCGCCTTAACCTTTCCTCATAGGGAAAGTGTTCCAACCCTTTTATCATTTGAGTTGCCCTTTTCTGCACTTTTTCCAAAGCTATTTGTGTTATTTTCTGACTTATGACATTCTACCTTGAGTGCGTGTCTCAGCACCCCACCTTTGAGATGCCCAGCAAACACACATGCACAATGGAACAGAAACCCAGAAAGCTCAAGGCTGCTTGCCAAAGGCCTTTCCCGGATCCGGTAAGCCATGGTTTTCTGGGCAGCTGGTTAGGAAAAGCAGTTTCTGTCGGCTGCAGAGAAAGCCCACACCTGAAGAGGTCAAAAGGCCTGTGTGGTATTCAGTCATCAGCCTTCTGATACTGCCCAGAGCTGCGCTCCTGCATAACCAGCAGTTCTGAATTCTGCAAACCTACACAGAAAGGGAGCCGTTACTGCCTGTACTAAGAACTCTTGCCTGCCATGAACTTATAGTACAGGCCAAAGTTTACAGCCAAGCGGTCTGGAACATTAATAACAGCACACAGCCATAAAAAGTGAACTGAAATCTTTTCCAGGGCACAAGCTAAATGTCTGTCTGTGTGGAAACACTTCTCTTCTGTTGCGCAACAGAAACTAGGGCTTGGAGCACACAATTCAGGAGGCCTACAGCTTTAAAAAAAAACCTCACACACACACCACATCAGTGTGTGGGAGACGTCCAAGCTGCGTTTCCCAGCATGGGGAGATTAATCTAAATGAGATCAAGTCATTAAAAAGCCTGTGTGCAGCAGCTGGGTTGAAGAGCACACAGATTTATAGTAATCTTGCTGGGTTTTGGGCACAGCATCGCTTTGGCAGCAAAAGGTTGCACAATCAACCACTCTGAAACATATTCAGGTGGGTAGCCAGGTTGGTCTGAAGCAACAGAACGCCGTTTGAGTCCAGGGGCACCCTGAAGACCAACAAAGTTTTATTCTGCGTATAAGTTTTTGTGTGCATGCACGCTTCCATTCCGAAACATACAGACAAATACGATGGCTGGTCGCTGAAAGGTTGTGTCCCAAATCCATGGGTTTCCAGACTGCTTGGAAAGTTTTTTTTTCCCCCTGAGGGTTACCTAAGAGGGAGTTTTTTGAACAAGCAAATTACAAAGAATTGCAATTTGGCAGTGTCATGATCTGGGCTGTGCCACCGGAGGCCTAGCAGGCCCAAGGAGCCTGGCTAGCAATAGGGGAGGCTGGGCCTACAAACCCCAGAAGGCCTTGGGATGTTTTGGCGTTGATTTTGGCCAACAGGGAAGAAGAGGTCTGGGGAATAAAAGAGCTGGTGCAAGAGGAGAAGCTGTTCTTCTTCCCAGGGAACAGGGCCAGAAGAGAGGCTGCTGTGGGGGAGAAACCCTCATCCTGAGAGAAGGGTGAGTAGTCTATGGCCACTTGAGATAGTGAGCTAGGGACAGTATATATTTAGACGCGTTAGGCCAGGCATTTTATTTATTTTCACCCACTTACTGTTTTTATTCCTGCACCTTGTTTGTTTGACCTCCTATAAAATAAACCGTTTTCATTGTTCACTCTGCCTGGTCCTCACACTCATTTTGGCTAAAAGGGAGGTCTAAAGGGGTTGGGAGGGTGCTCTGGGCCTTCTCAGAGGAGCCCGGAACCAGAGTGGTGGCAGCGTCAGGTGACACCCCCACCTGAGCCGTGACAGGCAGTCATTCAGACTATTGCTTGTTACCTTTCGGTCAGTCATACAAGTCAGAGAAAGACACAACCTTGCTCTTGACTCCTATGAACAACCAAGACCCCCGCTGGTGGATGACCTCTTCCCTGCATGCTGAAGTATCCAAAGGCCTATAATTCAAGGCACGATCCTTAGCAGTTCGAAAATGTTTGCATTGCTGACTATCCAATTTCTTTTCATTAGCCACAGAGTGCAAAATGCGCCCCTTCAAAAACAGGTTTTAAACTGTGGCAAAGCCAGTGTGTCTGCTACTGCTCCCATTTTATAGGTAAGCTTTGTGAGTATGAATGAGAGAGATAATGAGCCTATTGTGGTTAGAGTGAACAGAGTAAGCATATGATCTGCCCTGAGCTGTTATGCCAATAAAGGTCGATTGATTGATCTACCCTCAGCTGGAGACAAAGCAAATTAAACATGAAATTGTTCATGAACCAGGCTAGGGTTAATACTGTTCTCCTTTCACTGCTTAATGGAAATGTTTTTTAACTTTAAAAAAAAAAAAGCTGACGTTTTATCATATTTTAATAGTGAAGTGTGGCTCCGTCTGAAGATAACCAAAATAAGAGGCTGAAGCAGCCAACAGACAAGACAGCTGTTTGCAGAAAATTCTGAGATCTAAAAAATACATTGGGTGGTTAAAAAAACCAAAATAATAAAAAGGAGCGCCTGTAGCTTTAATAAACAGATGTTCTCAATGGCTGTCGCTAGGCAACCCCAACACTTTGTCCAGCATTCCACGCTTGGTTTTTGTCAGTAAAATGCGGGGACAGGTAGGGCCCTTTCCCAAGCTGTTTAGGCATTTGAGGGAGGACTTGTTGGGGCTGGGGCGCAGCAGCAACCTCTGGGCAGCTTGATACCACCTATTAGGCCCTGGCCCTAATATTAACACCAGCAGCAGCCAGGCCTTAACATCAACACCTCCACCAGTCGGATGATTAACAACCTGGCAGGAGCCTGGAGGCGGCCATTCAAATGATGACAGAGTGTCGCCATCTGTATTATGAGTATGTGTTTTATAGTCTATATATTGGAATTTTAATGTACATATCTATATACATATGTTGTTAGCCGCCCTGAGCCCACCACGGCGGGGAGTGTGGGATATAAATGTAAATATAAGTAAATAAATGGCATGGCTCATCCAAACCTGGCCGATTGCTACTGGTTAACAGCAGCCATCCCACAAAAGCCAGTGGAGTAGAGTGGTTAAGAGTAGTGGGAGGGCTTCTAGTGTCCTGGCCCCACTGCTGGACCTCCTGCTGGCCCCTGGTATTTTTATTTATTAATTTATTTATTATTATATTTTTATCCCGCCCTCCCCGCAAACGGGCTCAGGGCGGCTAACAGACAAGGGCACCATGTGCCAAGTATAAAACATTAAAACACATAAAAACAGCAATTTTATCAAATTTAAAGTGCTCAGTGAAGTTAATATTAATCATTTAGTCAAATCAGTCAAGTCAAAATGGTGATCAGTAGATGTTACTCAAGCCCGAATCGGCAGTACCGCTCCATCAGAATACTGTAACTTGATCTTACAGTGGGCCATCGATCTTATAATGGGCCATCCCAATGCCCCATGTTCCCATGAGGTAGTTGTTGTTGGTGGCGGCGGCTCCTAATTAAAAGCCTGGCGGAAGAGCCACTGTGTGACTGAGTGTTGGACTGGATGGGCCATTGGCCTGATCCAGCATTGGCTTCTCTTATGCTCTTATGAGTTTCAGACGGGGACCTTGGATTCCCATTCTGGAAACATCACCGGGTGACCTTGGGCCAGTTACACATTGTCAGCCTAACCCTCCTCACAGGGTTATTGTGCGAATAAAACAGAGAATTGATGTAAGCTGCACTGCATCCCATTGCGTAGAAAGGCAGGATGTCAATGAGGTAAATAAATAAGATGGGGGGGATAAAAGGTAGAATGGTGGGTGTGAGAGAGAGAAGGAAGTAGAGAAAGGTGAGGATATGGAAGTTGATTGGATGCGGGGAAGAGGGGGGCGGGATGCAGGAGAAAGCGAGTC